TTTATTTTATTTCCAGGGACGTGGCTCGGGGTCACGAGAACGTTCCCATCCCGTGTGTGAACGGCGTGGACGAGGAGCCGTGTCCTCAGGACTACAAATACATCGCAGAGAATTGTGAAACCTCCACCATGAACATCGACCACAACATCACCCACCTGCAGGTGCAGGAAATTCGGGAATTTTGGGAAAATTTGGGTGAAATTCGGGAAAAATTCGTGTCAATTTTGGTGATTTTAGGGCGATTTTGGGGGGTTTTAGGGGCATTTTTGGGGTGTGCTGGGTCACAGCTTCACCATGAACATCGACCACAACATCACCCACCTGCAGGTGCCACAGAATTCCAGAAAATTTGGGGAAATTTGGGAATTTTTGGGAAAATTCGGGAAAATTTGGGTGAAATTTGGGGAAAAATCGGCGATTTTTGGGCGAATTTTGGCGATTTTGGGGGGTTTTAGGGGCATTTGGGGTGTTCAGGGTCAGAGCTCCACCATGAACATCGACCACAACATCACCCACCTGCAGGTGCCACACAATTCCCGAAAATTTGGGAATTTTTGGGAAAAAATTCGGGAAAATTTGGATGAAATTTGGGGAAAAATCGGCGATTTTTGGCGATTTTTGGGGAAAATTTGGGAATTTTGGGGCATTTGGGGTGTTGAGGGTCAGGGCTCCACCATGAACATCGACCACAACATCACCCACCTGCAGGTTTGGGGGAAATTCGGGAATTTTGGGAAAATTTGGGAAAAATTTGGGATAAAAACGGGTAAATTTGGGGATTTTAGGGCGATTTTTGGGGGAAAATTGGGGTAATTTGAGGGGATTTGGGTTGTTGAGGGTCAGAGCTCCACCATGAACATCGACCACAACATCACCCACCTGCAGGTGCCACGGAATTCCCGAAAATTTGGGAATTTTTGGGAAAAATTCCGGAAAATTTGGGTGAATTTTGGCGATTTTTGGGGAAAATTTGGGGATTTTGGGAGGGATTTTGGGGGATTTTGGTCAGAGAACTGCGAGACCTCCACCATGAACATCGACCACAACATCACCCACCTGCAGGTTTGGGGAAATTCGGGAATTTTGGGAAAATTCTGGAAAAATTCGGGAATTTTTGGGTGAATTTTGGGGGATTTTTGGCAGTTTTTGGGGAAAATTTGGGGATTTTGGGGCATTTTTGGGTTCTGGGTCAGAGCTCCACCATGAACATCGATCACAACATCACCCACCTGCAGGCGTGGGGAAAATCGGGAATTTTGGGAAAATTCGGGAAAAAATTGGGAAAAATTCGGGAAAAATTGGGAATTTTTGGGAATTTTTGGGTGAAATTTGGCAATTTTTGGGGGGATTTTGGGGGGATTTGGGACAGTTTAGGTTTCTTTGGGTATTTGGGATTCTTTGGGATATTTTGGGATAATTTTAGGATACTTTAGGATATTTTGGGGCAATTCTGGGTTATATTGGGTAACTCTGGGATGATTTGGGGATATTTTAGGATATTTTGGGGTGTTTTTGGATATTTAGGAGTGATTTTGGCATGATTTGGGGTAACTTTAGGATGATTTGGGGACACTTTAAGACACTTTAGGATATTTTGGGACACTTTAGTATATTCTGGGAATATTTTGGGGTGATTTTGGGATATTTTGGGGTGCTCTGACCCCGTTTTTTCCCCCAGCACTGCACCTGTCAGGACGATTGCTCCTCATCCAATTGTTTGTGTGGGCAGCTCAGCATCCGCTGCTGGTACGACAAGGTGAGGAAAACCCCAAAAAAAAGTTTTTGGCCATTTCTGGGGTCGATTTTGGGGTATTTTGGGCTGATTTTGGGGTTTTCTGACCCCGTTTTTTCCCCCCAGGATGGGCGATTGCTGCAGGAATTCAACAAAATCGAGCCCCCCCTGATCTTCGAGTGCAACCAGGCCTGCAGCTGCTGGAGGAGCTGCAAAAACCGGGTGGTGCAGAGTGGCATCAAGTGAGCCCTAAAAACACCCCAAATCACCCCAAAAATCACCAAAAAACCCGCCCCAAAATACCCAAAAACAGCCCCAAAAATCACCCAAAAATAACCCAAAAAACTGCCCCAAAATCCCCATCCCAACCCCTGCAGCTGCTGGAGGAGCTGCAAAAATCGTGTGGTGCAGAGTGGCATCAAGTGAGCCCCAAAAACACCCCAAATCACCCCAAAAATCACCAAAAAACCGCTCCAAAATATCCAAAAACAGCCCCAAAATACCCTGAAAATCACCCAAAAAACCGCCCCAAAAATCACCCAAAATCACCACAAAAAACCGCCCCAAAATACCCTGAAAATCACCCAAAAAAATGCCCCAAAAATCACCCCAAAATCCCATCCCAACCCCTGCAGCTGCTGGAGGAGCTGCAAAAACACCCCAAATCACCCCAAAATTCACAAAAAAACCCGCCCCAAAATACCCAAAAACCGCCCCAAAAATCACCCAAAAAACCGCCCCAAAATCCCCAAAAATGGCCCCACAAACTGCCAAAAA